GCTGGGACGCGCCACGCCCCGGGCACGAAGGTTAGACCGCCACTGATAGTCAGCGGTGAGCGCCTCCGCCTCCAGGACCCAAGGCGGCGTCCCAGCCAGTACACACGCCGCCTCAAAAGAGACGGTGCGATAACCACGGAGAAGATAGCACCTAGAACCATGTCGCGTATTTTAAAATATGACTTAGGACTTGCAGCCTATAAAAGACGTACTGGTCATTTCTTCAATCAACTGATAATTTAAAAGAGAATTTGGTGGTAAAATCGAATCTACTGAAGCGGTACGCAAAGGGAGGTCATAGAAACATTTTGTTTACGGATGAGATTTTTTTTACAATTGAACAACATTTTAACAAACAAAATGACCGTATTTATGCTCAAAGCTCTAAGGCAGCTTTCCAATTAGTCGACAGAGTGCAACGGGGGCACTATCCGACTTCAGTGATGGTTTGGTGGGGTATTAGCTATGAAGGAGTGACTGAGCCATACTTTTGTGAAAAAGGTATCAAAACATCGGCACAAATGTATCAAGATACCATTCTTGAGAAGGTAGTGAAGCCCCTTAACAACACCATGTTCAATAATCAAGAATGGTCCTTCCAGTAAGACTCGGCGCCAGGTCATAAAGCTCGGTCTACGCAGTCTTGGTTGGAAACGAACGTTTCGGACTTCATCAGAGCTGAAGACTGGCCGTCGTCTAGTTCCGATCTTAATCCGCTGGATTATGATTTATGGTCAGTTTTAGAGAGTACGGCTTGCTCTAAACGCCATGATAATTTGGAGTCCCTAAAACTATCCGTACGATTGGCAGTGAACAATTTTCCCATGGAAAGAGTGCGTGCTTCTATTGGTAACTGGCCTCAACGTATATAGGACTGTATTGCAGCCAATGGAGACCACTTCGAATAAGCTTTTTATACTTTAAATTGTTTTATATTTTTGTATTAAACTAACACAATGTAAAAGTAATAAATGTTATTGGCAATAGTTTTTTTTTTGTAACAGTATTTATGGCCAGACTAAGTATATTTCGTATAAATTATTTTAAGTAAGTAGATCAAGTTTGTATTGTGAAATGAGTGTGCGATCTTACTGGTACGATCTTTACTACGTTTACTATTTAATGAAATATAAGTGATTTTTTATTCTTAATGCAATCTTAAGTGTTGTTGTGTAAATCAAGAAAATACTGACAGCAGCTTAAATTATCCTGATAAAATACAATAAGGCTTATTCGTTTTGGATTACAAATCTAGCGCAGATGAAGCCGCGGGACTCGTTTGAGATTTTAATCTATCTATATATATAAAAATGAGTTGCTGTTTGTTAGTCTCGCTAAAAGTCGAGAACGGCTGGACCGATTTGGCTAATTTTGGTCTTGAATTATTCGTGGAAGTCCAGAGAAGTTTTAAAAGGTAGATATAATTAAGAAAATGCTCGGAATTAAATAAAAAATAACAATTTTGTCTTTCCTTTGATGTGTCCCCCGTCGGTCTTTTATTTATCGATTGACGCACTACGAAGTCTGCCGGGTCAGCTATGAAAACATAAAAACGAAATAGTTTTTCAAATTCGTGCATTCATTTATAATAGGATCACGATACACGTTGAGCTTCGCCGACGCTCATCTGTCAATACATTGAATGAATGCAGTTCAATTTGCATTGTAAATTTGTAAGCAACTAACAACGCCGCATAGTTACGGACCGGAGACTACGACGTCGCAGAGAACTTCCCTGAATAATTTATAGGGTGACGGCTTGTCACAGGATTTTCTCATGATTAAACATGATCCACGAAAAAGTAATTGAGTTTGCGGACGCATTTTGTAAGGTTCTGTTCAGATAAGATTTTAATCCACGGCAATAAGGATACAAAATGGGAAGACGAGTTCTTAATGGGTTTTTTTATATAATTAAACTGACTTCATAGTTCTTGCGTGTAAAGGGGAAAGGAGAAATAAGAAATAAACAAACTGTTCTCCGCAAATCGACGGCTCTAAAATGCGCTTATTTTACTTATAGATGGGGGGATCGCGTAACATCCCAGCTCCGGAAGGAAGTCAGCCGATTCCCTTGAATCGCTGAAGACTACGGGAGCCAACTCAGCTACCCTAGTTGAAGCCCCGTATGTGACAACTCCTGTGTACTCGAAGAGCTTGTGAGCACCCGCTTCGCTTGTATCTACGCAGACTTTGCGCATAGGTGTGTGTTGTACTTAGTGTAAGCTTATGATGGTATAGTATAGTTGGTATAGTTAAGACTGTGTAACTGACGTGTTAACCTTCGTTTTATTTCCTACAGCACTGTTCTCGTCTGTATACCGTATGTTCATTACGACCGATCTGCGGTTTTTTGCGAATAAGCAGTCTCGGTAATGCACTTATTCGTTTCAAGAGAATGGGTACAATGGGTGCAAGAGTTCTTGTACTATCTGCATATTTTTTGTAACTTAACGACCGATCTGCGGTTTTTTGCGAATAAGCAGTCTCGGTAATGCACTTATTCGTTTCAAGAGAATGGGTACAATGGGTGCAAGAGTTCTTGTACTATCTGCATATTTTTTGTAACTTCTTTTAGTAGTATATCGATTATATACTGTTATATCGATTATCAATTACTAATTATCAATAACTAAATTTCGTTATCTTTGGAGTTGGAGTAAGTTCGTTCTGAGTGAGATAAGTCAAATTGGTTCCAAAATATCTCGGGAGTCTGTCAGCAAGCCATTCCCGTCCGACTGAGCCCTTGGATTCGCCCATGCGAAATAGCCAAGCGACAAGGATGTGCCAGAATCTTTCCATCCCAAAAAATAAAAATTCAAAGGATTACGACGCGAGTTAAGGACTGCTTTCAATTCAGAGTAAATATCAACTTCAGCAATTCGACACAATAAGAAGACAAGTGTTGTAAATCTCTATCTTTTGTTTCAATAGAGTTCGTTCTCTGGAATCCTGGGATCTTTTCATTCGTACTATCAAGAGATGGATTGAATCGAATGGCATTATTGAATATTTAATATTTATATATTTCCCGTAACGAAGAACAATGCTAGTCATTAAAATCAAGTGACCCCTCGAATGGAGACCGCGCAGCGGAAGACGTAACGTGGGACGCCCCCTGGCTAGGTGGTGTGATGACCTCCGCACGGTGGCCGGCAAGAAGTGGATGAGGAGAGCCGCAGACCGGGCTCAGTGGTGTGGATTGGGAGAGGCCTATGTCTAACAGTGGACGACTGTGGGCTGTTGATGATGATGATGACCCCTCGAATATACGCAACTTGATGACTTAATACAATGCTAATTGAATTTTAATTGTTTCAAATAATAAAAAACCGCAATGGAAACAACAAAACGAAATGTCTACATAATTTTCGCATCAATAAGACGGGAATATTGGACTCACGACTCGTTTTAACATAATCATTAAGCCCTCCCGGATATACAGGGGAAAGTTTTAATAACTTTGAGAAACAATTTCTTTTCATTAAAAAAAATATCGTTCGTATTCTTTTTTCCTTTTACGAAGCTCGTAATGCGGACCGGCTGAATGACTGATTGTTTTATTTTTTTTCTGAAGCAAAATTTGGCACAAGATTATGTACCTCATTCCTCATGCCTCATTTTTGGTTGTGGTTTTGTGGTTAGTAGTAGGTAAGAGGGTAATATTATTTATGACGACGAACGAGTAGGGAGCGCATCCGGACAGCGTGAGATTAAAAAGTAATGGCTCTCGTCATACCCGGGATCCCAGTTATAATTCAGGTAATATTTGTATAGTAAAATATTAATAAAGGAACATTTTAGAGCCACCGGTTTTAGCAGTTAATCTTAGCCTTTCAAATATGTAAGTTGCCATTATGATTTATAATAAAGATGTTCTTTCAGTCTTAAATTGTGCACGATAAAGTACCTTTTGTCTTGCACTTACAATTATGTTCTCTTTAAGATCAGGTTGAATAGAAATGAACCAAGTTAATAATCTTGCTTTTCAACCGAAATTGATGCAGTTTTCTTCTTGTACCTACAATTGGGTTGTCTATCTTTAATTAACATTGAATGTTTATTTCTTACACTAAATATTAAAATTAAAATAAATCTTTTTCACTATATCAAGGAATAATTCTCTATCCTTTTGCTTACTGAATTTATTTTCACTTTAATTTACTAGAGTCGTTTTATATACAAAAATTTTGATTGTGAAAAATGTCTCTTATAGATTAAGTAAAGGAAGGGGCTTTTACTGATGAAGGCCCGCACGGGTAGCTACCACAATCCTGCTTATTTCTGCCATGAAGTAATCACACTATTTAGTTTGAAAGGTTATATAGCTGTTATACTACACTATAGAGACCTAATGTCTGAAAATTAGTGGCGGCATTCTGACTGCGTTGGCTAATGGCTCGGTAAATACTTAACACAAGATGGGCAGTGAGCTTGTGCAACTTTATAACCGATAAAAAAACGATTTGCGGCGACGTGTTTAGTGTGCATTAATATTTTAGGATATGGTTTAGGATATGCTTTTAGCGCAATAAGTCCGCTGCTATGGGCATAATGATATTTTTATTATCACGTATTTACCTAAAACATTTTAGAGTCTGCATTCTGAAAGTTATACTCGAAGATATAATACTATAAATACGTCCTTAAAATATATTTGACATAATTATTATTTTGGACACGATCTTTGAAAGCGCAACATCAAAGGCTATTTATTTCTTATCATTATATTATAGTAATATGAGATATTTATGTTTTATTTTCTCTCATCGAATTATCATTCTAAACGAAATATATTATGTAAATAGGTTATAAACGGGTACAAAGAGAATATCGTCCCGGTCCCGGGACCCGCATTAACCTCGCCGTTCGGTTTCGCGTTTCAGCCGAGATGGCGATCGATTTTGTTTTCGTCACCCGGTTATAATTTAATAGAGAAGGTCGCGGGCGTTTCGCGTCGGCCCTTCGCGCCGTAGGAGATGTGCGGGTGCTCTGCTTACCGAGTCGTCGTCGAACTCGAAGTCCTGGTCTGCGCGTCGAGCTGTAGCTATCGAAAACGCCAGCAGCAACGCGGCTGCCAACAGCCACTCGTGGAAGCGCATCTCGCCGTCACCACCCTGACCCGTGATAGAGACTCAGGTCTGACGCACACAAGCGAAATTGCAGGCTTGAGGCAAGAGGAACGCCCGTCGCTAAGCTCAGCACGGCGCGCACTGCCGCTTCGCCCTCCCGAGCCTTCCCTCCCACTTCCCGGTGTAAAAACATTAACCAGTAACTCAAAATTTACACAGTCAACATTCTCATAGTGTTTGACGTGAATTTGAACAACTGTTTACCGTTTTACTGTGGTTAGGTTAGAGAAAAACGAGAAACTGCATGTGTATTTTGTCGGTTTTTTCATTGATTGTTTCTTATATTAATAACTAGCTTTTGACCGCGACTCCGTCGGCGTGGAATAGTTACTTTGGCATAACGCTAAATTTTACGCCCACTTCATTTACGTATAAAGTGAAAATATTTTTGAATTATAGAATGTTAAGGAGCTATTTAAACCCCTATTTTGAAACATTCTTTATTGGTGCTCCACTTGTATTGCCTATAGCCTTCCTCTACAAATGAGCTATCTGACACTGAAAGATTTTTTTAAATCGGACCAGTAGTTCCTGAGATTAGCGCGTTCAAACAAACAAACTCTTCAACTTTATAATATTTGTATAGAAGTATAGATGTACTGTTCTAATATTAACTATAAATATATAATGATAAGATAACGAATCGAAATGGTTGCTTTATTAGAGCCTCGTTTCTAATTCGTATTTACTGTTGACTACAGAGTACCTACATTCAACAAACACAATTTATGCAATATGTACAAAATATTCAATTTATTATCACGAACCATACCTAAATTTAGGTAAAAATCAATATCTTTGTAGTAACTGTTTAAATAACAGAGGCATATCCGCTTTGCATCGCTAGTATTTGACCGCCTCGCCCCGTCTCCCATGGAACCGGCATGCAGCCTCCCCCGCACCCTCCCCCGCACCCTCCCCGCACCGCGAGCCTTTATCACACACGCTTTAGAAGCAGCCCCACAACCTACTGGTTGTCGTGTAAGCGAATTTTAATAGCGCCACGCGAAAAATCGCTGTGTCGCCATCGATAGTTTCTCTCGGTTTAGACGATAAGGTTGTGTTCAAATTGGTTATGCCTACGCATTGATTTTCTGTGGGATATTTTAGAAAACTGATGTTTAGGTCAGTTCGATAATTATTGTAAACGAAAAAGGAGATTCTGTTTCGTATTAATTGAAACAGTAATTAAACAACCGTAGCATTTTCGTGGGTTTTCGCATAAGTAAAACTATTTTTACGGTTTAATCTCGTATTATTTTATTGTAATTACAATATCACGAATTACTGACAGCCATTGTTCGGTTAACGGAGTTGCAGTTTCATACAGGCTCGTTCTTTTGGGCGATACAAGGTCTATAGTTTTCACTTAGTGTTGTGTTCTGAATCCAATGTACCTACCTAGTAACACCTAGAACTTAATTTCCATAACACGATTAAAATTACAAATGTGTTTTATTGTTCTATAAAGTATATTTAAGAAATACGAACGACATTTACCTAATAATTGGATTTAGAATAAAAAAGCCTAATGATAAATTATCAAAAGTCAAATAACGTTGTCTAGTCTTGTCTTTGAACTAAGAGCTGAGTACAAGATCTAATAATTTTTACCCACCTAGATACTTATCGATTATATTTCACGTTGCCTCGAAGAGTTGATTCTGGAAAATATTAACAACATTTTCAGCTCAAACCTTCATATCTGCGACGTGTGGGTGCGTGTGGTGTAACAATTAACATTATGTCAAACATAAGTACGGGGAGTAAACGAAGGCACTTCGATCAATTACGTGAAAAACCATTCGCATGTCATGTTTGTTTCTCCTCGAAGCGTGATAAATTAGCAAGCAACAACGACATTTCACCATTCAACCTCCGGGTTGATGTGTCGATGTAATTAATATTTGTTAATTAGTAAATGGCATTACGAATTTCGTCGTCCATGTGAGGGATGCCTGTTAAATGTTTTAGTGCTTTGATGGTTTACTCCCCTTGACAGAGTTGCGATATCTCACGTTACACTTTCGTGTAGTGGTTAGTGATTACGCAAGAGTGTGAGATGCAGACAGCTAGTCGCGTGTGCGGGGAGTATCGATCTGAAAGTGGCGTCCCGCCGGCGCCGATGTCGCTCCCTGGACGTAAACAAGCTTAGGAAATGCCGCCGAAGATGAGTCGCAAACCTCAAAAGTGTCTCTGACAAAGAACATTCGAGAATATGTGAAGTTTAGCAGACCAGTCCAAGGTCACCGAGGTGTATTCAAATAACAAAGTAAATACTTATTGTCCACCTTGAAATATGGGCTCGAAGTTTCAAATGTTACAGCTACCAAATTCTAGCCGGCTTATTTCCGATGACTACTTCAGTGATGGTTCAGTTTTGATCAGACCATAACAAATTACGAAGGCTTATTGCGAGTTTAATTATTTTATTTATTGCTTAGATGGGTGGATGAGCTCACAGCCCACCTGGTGTTAAGTGGTTACTGGAGTGTGGTACCTACCCGTGAGGACTCGAGAGGTCCTACCACCAGTAAACTACCTAACCTAAACCTAAACTTTATTCCTTCATAGTGGAAGTCGTCAGCGAACACACTTCAGATACGTTTTAGAATTTTAATATTTATCGTCGTGTCTTCAACCCAGGTACAGTCGCATCGATTGATACGATTACACAGATGACCTTAGGCCACGAAAGTAATTAACGCTGTGTAGTACCGCAGTGCTCAAAACTATACAGGGCGTCCCGCAATAAGTAGGTATATCAAGCCGAAATGTGACAAAAAAAATCTAAACAGTAATTAGTAGTTTTATAAAAAAAAACTAATTAATTAAATTAATTATTTCAACGGTTCAATGACAGCCCTGAATTTTTTCATTCAGTTTAAAGCGTTAGGAAAAAAAATCGTTTTACTCATTTCAAACGACAAATGAGTGAATGAATACGACAAAACATGCAACCATGTTACTAACTGCATGAAGCTTAAAACCTCAAAACAAATTTAAAACTTATTACGGCGAACACTACTAAATGTCACCTTTATTGCAAAGACAAAAATAGCTATTTGATATGCCGACACAGTTCAGAGCGAATGGTGGTTTTTTTTTTTTTTTTAATTGCTTAGGTATGTGGACGAGCTCACAGCCCACCTAGTGTTATGTGGTTACTGGAGCCCATAGACATCTACAACGTAAATGCGCCACACACCTTGACATATAGTTCTAAGGTCTCAGTATAGTCACAACGGCTGCCCCACCTTTCAAACCGAAACGCATTACTGTTTCACGGCAGAAATAGGCGGGGCGGTGGTACCTACCCGTGCGGACTCACAAGAGGTCCTACCACCAGTAATTACGCAATTATAATTTTGCGGGTTTGATTTTTATTGCACGATGTTATTCCCTCACCGTGGAAGTCAATCGTGAACATTTGTTGAGTATGTATTTCATTAAAAAAATTGGTACCCGCCAGCGAGATTCGAACACCAGTGCATCGCTCGATACGAATGCACCGGACGTCTTATCCTTTAGGCCACGACGACTTCATGTGTTAAGTGTTTGTGTATTTCAATCAGCTGACATCTCGTGACCATCTTAAGCTCTTCAATCTCTATTGGGCCACCGCACCATCGCGTTTACCCCGTGACCTCACGTATATGTTAGGGCGAAGCTGAAATAGCCTCTCAAGGCTATCAGCATAAGTAGAAAAAAAATCGCGTTTACAGCGTTTCTTCAGACTTCCGAAAGCAATTCGTACTTGTTGGAATTTTCATCGTGAGAGATTTACGTCTTGTGGGTCCGTACAAGAAGGTACCATCACCCTGTCTATTTCTGCCATGAAGCAGTAATTAGTCGGTTTGATGCGTGGGGTACCGTTGTACTGTAAAAGCTGAAACTTACAACTCATATCTCAAGGCGGGTGGTGGAATTTACCTTGTTGATGTCTATTAGCTCCGATAACCACTTAACACCAGATGGATCGTAAGCTCATCCACCCTTCTCAATAATGAAAAATATTACGCATTAAAATACGCATCTTTTGAAATGCCTGCTTTATTTTTTACTACGTATCATATTACGTTCATCACCTTACGTAAAACACAATTCAAGGACTGGCAGAAGAATAAATACTTTCTTCATTATGTTCAAGTATCCTTAATTGGGAATGTTTCTTTTCGTTAAATCGATTATATCTATTATAACAGAACACGGTCTACAGTTGTCTTGATATACCCTTTCTGGGACACTCTGTATATATGTATTTTATCACCAATGTCTGTTTGTTTAACTTGCACTGCTTTCGCTAACAGCAATTTAGTTCTTTGGCACCAGGATCACGACTCAACCAACCTAAAGCCATTTTCGCCAATAAGCATTTCTTTAAATCCAAAAATTGGATTACTTCATGGTTAACATTGTCAGGACGACGACACTTATCCGCAGATTAGCGATGCGTGTTGCCACCCGGAAACATTATCAAAATCGGTTGTTAAATTAACAAACTCATTGGTACGAAAAGCAATAGTATGTAACTATGTAATATATTCAAAGCCTGAAAGATTGTCCGTCAGTCAGGATAGGGCTAAGGGATGTTAACGACAGTTAAGGCTGTCCGCGCTAAAGTGGCCTAACCCACAATTTTTCATAATCCTGCTTATAGTTATATATATATATTGCAATTTATTTAAAATATTATAAATTGTGATGCAAAACCGACCTATCCATAGTTTCACCCATAGATAACAGATGGCCTTGTAAACATTATTTTTGCGCGTATTCTTTTTTCGTCTACTCAAATTCAAATTCATGAAAACTTAAACCTCATTGCTCCATAACTATAGTAAGCTTAGGCCACTTTTGCGCTGACGGCCTCAATTTTACTATTGAGCAGAAGATACAGCCTTTTTTTGGGGTACCTATATGCTAGTAGCATCTAGAGGCTATTCTGGCTTCACCTTTACTGGTGGGTGAGCTTCCGGGACCCAGCCTGAAGGAACTTACTAGCATCTACCCTAGCAAGGCAGTGTTTCGCTGAAGTCGCCGTGGCCTAAAGGATACGACGTTCATTCGAACCTAGCAGTGCAACGGTGTTCGAATCCCGCAGGCGGGTACCAATTTTTGTAATGAAATACGTATTTAACAATTATTCACGATTGACTTCCACGGTGAAGGAATAACATCGTGTAATCAAAATCAAACCCGCAATGTTATAATTTGCGTAATTACTGGTGGTAGGACGTCTTGCGAATCCGCGCGGGTACCACCGCCCTGCCTATCAGCAATAATGGGTTTCAGTTTGAAGGGTGGGGCACCCGTTATACTGTAAAAACTGAGACCTTAAAACTATATCTCAAGGTAGGTGGCGGCATATACGTTGTCTATGGGCTCCAGTAACCAATCAACACCAGGTGGGCCGTGAGCTCGTCCACCCACCTAAGCAATGAAAAAAAAAACTACCACCGACTCGGAACGGTGATACATGGAGAAGATGTAGCAAGAAACTCAGTGGATTCTATGAGTTAAATTGCACGTCGAATGTCGAAGTGTTAGATACAATGTTCGAACAAGCGTAGAACTATCCTAGGTTCCGATTTCATGGATACGACGGCCATTCTCTCATAAGATATCTGTGTTCCGATAACGGTTTTCCACCGGTGACCTCGCCTGCCCCAGCGGACCATTAACAATATTAACATCCAACAGATTATTTTGATCGCTACGCTGAAGCAAAATTATACCACGAATCATTTGAATCTAATTTATTATGCCGTAGGGTGAAAAGTAGCTGTGAGGGAAAATTGGTTCTGGTGAAATATAATCTTTCTTGTATATGGTAACACAAGAAGGATCGCAATCGAATAAATAGATAAATAGGTCTAGATAATTAGGGGCCATCCATAAATTACGTCACACGAATTTTAGGACTTTTGAACCCCTCCCCATGCCCCTTTGTCACACTATGTCACATTACGGTGATACCCCCCTTCCCCATCAACGTGTGATGTAATTTATGGATGACCCCTTAGATAAGATAAATAGACAAGATAAATTTACAAGTCGTCGTGGCCTAAAGGATAAGACGTCGTTCGTTGTTGCGATGCACCGGTGTTCGAATCCCGCAGTCGGGTACCAATTTTTCGAATGAAATACGTACTTAACAAATGTTCACGATTTACTTCCACGGTGAAGGAATAACATCGTGTAATAAAAATCAAACCCGCAAAATTATAATTTGCGTAATCACTGGTGGTAGGACCTATTGTGAGTCCGCACGGGTAGGTACCACCGCCCTGCCTATTTCTGCCGTGAAGCAGTAATGCGTTTCGGTTTGAAGGGTGGGGTAGCCGTTGTAACTATACTGAGACCTTAGAACTTATATCTCAAGGTGGGTGGCGCATTTACGTTGTAGATGTCTATGGGCTCCAGTAACCACTTAACACCAGGTGGGCTGTGAGCTCGTCCACCCATCTAAGCAATAAAAAAAAAAAAGATTATAACAAAAAATATATTATATTTTATTTTATTCACTTCAACACCTACCATGTCCAGCACTGGACTTCTATGGGCGAAAAGATAGAAGACATATTCACTTCAATTTCATTTAATTATTTTTTACACCAGAAACACCATTTTAGCATCAAATCAAAATATGTCACTCTTAAGTGTGCGTCTGTGGAACTCAGTTCCACACTCGATCCGTGCAAGTCCCTCACTTGAAGTATTCAGGAAGGCATTAAAGGAGCACTATCTATCAATTTAGTATTACTTTTATATGTATTTATTTTATGTATTTCATTATATATGTACGTGTATATATATGTTTACGTTATCTATGTGTGTATGTATATATGTAGTCTAATATATTATTATGTATTAGTGTTTTTTTTTATTATTATTATTGTTCTTGTTTAGATTGTATTCTTCTACCCACTCATTTAAAGCGTTCCTTCGTTAAGAACGGTTAGCTGGTAGAAAACTCAATTGTTGAGTTAAGCTCGCCATTTTTTATATCTTATCGCAATTACTGTAATATTAACTGTGTGTACAATAAACAATAAATTAAGAGTGTTTTCTTTTTATTATCATTTGAAAGCCCTCTCTATTCTTGGTTTTATCCACCCACAAACAACACACAGCAAGTACGATTCGTAAACGAGATAGAGACATCAATAATTTTGTAAAACGCCTAAATATGTGATAATTTAACCACTAAATGTTTGCAACACTATATAACTAACTTAACTTTAGTGTTTGGTAAATCAATTCTTAGATATCCATAGACACTGTATAAAAAGTTACGGTATTTAGGTCGTCATGAAGAAAAGAAAAAACATTTTATTAAACAACATTAACTTTAATCAAGTATAAATAATACACTATAGTGAAACCCTTTACTTACATACTACACAACCACAAAAACTAGTAACCCAGTCTGCAGCCATAACTTTTAATGTTGCCAGCTGCAAAAATCCCGGCAGCACTCAAAAGAATCGTTCATGGCAACACTAACCGTGCATTTTATGGTTCGACGTTCATGAATTTCAATACGTGGTTTTAAAAATTTAGTTTTGGGTCTACCTTCCATGATACAACCTAGTTTTAACAACATTTTTATAGACAAACACCTCAAGAGACCTCTTGAGAGTTATCATTTCTTTCAATGTCATTCTTAATAGCTCTATATAAAGTATTTGACTGTACTTAATGGATTCACTTCACTTTGATCTTAAAAAAAATCTTGAAATGTTGCAATGGGTAAAAGGTATTTTTTTATGTTATACTCACATATTTACACAAGATATAACATCGATGACTTGACCAAAAACAACCTAAGTTTACATTCTTATTGCGTTAAATGTCACTGACAGGAGGAAAACAAACGCCACAATAAACTTACAATTAATATATTAAATGAGCTAAACTCAATAATCTGCAATGGTTTTGGGAAAAACAGTCAAAGACTCCATTCTTCGTGTAATTTGTGTTAAAAAATTAATTAGCTTTTTTTGTACAGTAAATAACCTTTGTTATTTTTATCTGCACTTTACATTTTAATTTTAAATTAATCAATGCTTTTTATTGTATAATGCCAAGAACATATACGTATGTTTTTTTGTTTTTTTTTTTACAGGAAATCATTGCAATTATTACAGTCTGTTCAATGATAATTAATTAGATTGTATTACTTTGTTGATAAAGTTGAGAATCGCCGATCTGTTTTGGATGTGTTCAGCGAACTATAGGTTCGCGAGGAAGTGCCACTTGTCAACTGAAAACAAACAACACATTATGTTATACAGAGTGTTCACTTTCATTAAAACAATATACAAAGTATATAGTTTCTTGAAGTCGAATAGTTCGTTGTTACAATGAACAAGGCCGTGACGAATTACGTTTTGTGTTTGTTTGAACATTCTTGACTTGTATATAAACCAGTTAAACGAGAGCCCTAATGTTTCAGTTCAAAATTTATTCAGACTAGTGGTACCGCAGTAGTCGAAATTCGACTTTAATTAATTGAAATTATAAGTTTGAACTTTATTATGTTTCTATTGTCAAAGACTATAATATAATTTATTCTATTATAATGTTTTTATAATCATAGATTTCGCCAAGACTACACTATAGACAAATAATATTAAAGATAAACAATATTAAGTAACCTATTTCCAATTTGACCACAGACTTTAAGCATTAGCAAAAGTTTGACAATAAGCAAAGAGTATATTATGTAAGAGCATATTATGCATGTGTGTCAAATACATGGGGTGGTTTTTATTGATGTAATGTGTTATTAATGCATAATTTAAAAAAAAATAGCATTCTGCACTCCTTCTCTATATTCTCTATAAGTGTGGGAAATTTCATACTCGTCAGTCCGCGCAATTTTCGTAAAAAGGGGTACAAAGTTTTTCATATAAATGACATATAAGTTGTAGCGTCTTGTTGTTGAGGTTAATGGAATTCGAAGTCGTCGTGGCCTAAAGGATCAAACGCTCGGTATCATCGTATCGAGTCATACGACCCGTGTTCGAATCCTACTGATAGGTAAAAAAGAATCCAATAAAATATTTGTAATATATTCACGAATTACTTCGAGAATGAAGCAACAAGACATGGTGTAGTAAAAATTTAAATTGAAATAATTCAAATTTGCGTAGTAGCCGGTGGTAGGGCGTATTATGGGCCGGCATGGGTGCGTACCACCAGCCTGCTCACCGCCACGAACGAATCAGTAATACGTCCCGATTGGAAGAGCGTGACGGCGGTTATATTATACTAATGAAACTTAACCCTCGGATTTTACGGGGTACGTTGACGTTCACAAAGTGATGCCTGTGGGCTCTCGTAACCACTTTTTTTATTGCTTAGATGGTTGGACGAGCTCACAGCCCACCCGGTGTTAAGTGGTAACTGGAGCCCATATACATCTACAACGTAAATGCGCCCGCCACCCGCCTTGAGATATAAGGTCTAAGGTCTCAATATAGTTACAACGGCTGCCCTTCAAACCGAAACGCATTACTGCTTCACGCTAGAAATAGGCGGGGTGGTGGTACCTGCCCGTGCGGACTCACAAGAGGTCCTAACACCATATGGGCCTTAAATCCGTTTACCTGTCTATAGAATGAAAAAAAAAAAATTTAGACATCATTCGATAATCGATTTTTTTCCGTTACAAATTATTTTAAATTGCAATTTATTAGAATAATTTATGCCACCACTCTTAGGAAATAATTTCTTTTCATAATTGGATTTTTTTTTTTTTTTTTTATTGCTTAGATGAGTGGACGAGCTCACAGCCCACCTGATGTTAAGTGGTTACTGGAGCCCATAGACATCTACAACGTAAATGCGCCACACACCTTGAGATATAGTTCTAAGGTCTCAGTATAGTCACAACGGCTGCCCCACCCTTCAAACCGAAACGCATTACTGCTTCACGGCAGAAATAGGCAGGGTGGTGGTACCTACCCGTGCGGACTCACAAGAGGTCCTACCACCAGTAATTACGCAAATTATAATTTTGCGGGTTTCATTTTTATTACACGATGTTATTCCTTCACCGTGGAAATCAATCGTGAACATTTGNCCTCCTTCTGCGAGATGGTGCACTCGCAGAAGTCGAGCATCGCCTTCCACGACTCGTCGTCGCCGAGCATCGATGCCACAACACTCGGCAACGACAAGTCGTTTCCTATTTTTGCGACGAGGACACGGCGCCACCCCTCCCATGCGGGGCAGGCGACGAGCGTATGCTCTGCCGTGTCCAAGTCGCAATCACAATGGTATCATCACTACATAGTATAAAACAAAGTCGCTTTCTCTGCCCCTATATCCCTAATCCCTATGTATGCTTAAATCTTTAAAACTACGCAACGGATTTTGATGCGGTTTCTTTTAATAGATACGAGTGATTGAAGAGGACGGTTTATATGTATAATAAGATCCATTAAATAGTGGAGAAATCAATAATAAATTACAGTTTCCGAAGCGAAGCGAGGGCGGGTCGCTAGTTATTCATAAAAATTAGAATATAAATTAAAATAAGACATGACCTAAAGGTCTTAGTTACCAGGTCATAAAATCCCTTAAAAAAAAGGAGACTATAGAGATGTTCGGTTACCTGTCTGCGGTATGGCGGCGGGCTGCCCGAGCGTTGGAGCCTTCGCCAAGACCGCGGCGGCTTCGGAGCGCTCCGCCCGGTCCACGCTGCCGCTCACTGACACGTTCATTCTGCGAACGAGATACATTCTCATGAAATACACCACAAAACATTTGACATTTGATTTTGGGAAGGATGACTTATTGAAGGCCTTTCCAGTTTCACCTCGAGAAATGGGATCTGTGAATAGCTGCGAAGGAGACCTAACAGCTCGATGGCAGCTGCTTCGTGAATGCATGACTCAAGACTCAAGATCGGTAGACACCGGCTTGGTTCTGCCCCTGGCATTGCTGAAGTCCATGGGCGACGGTAACCACTCACCATCAGGTGAGTAGTGTGCTCGTCTGCCTACAAGGGCAATAAAAAAAAAGACCGCGATCTGCAGCTGGCTTAAGTAGTCGTGGCCTAAAGGATCAGACGTTCGCTACCGCATTCGCATCGCTAGATAAGAATGCACCAGTATTCGAATCCCGCAGGCGGATACCAATTTTTGTAATGGAATATGTACTTAACAAATGTTCGCGATTGACTTCCACGGTAAAGGAATAAAATCGTGTAATAAAAACCAAAGCCGCAAAATTATTATATAATTTGCGTAATTACTGGTGGTAGGACCGCAAGGGTAGGAACCCCCACCCTGCCTATTTCTGCCGTGAAGGAGTAATGCGTCTCGGTTTGAAGGGTGGGGTAGCCGTTGTAACTATACTGAGACCTTAGAACTTATATCTCAACGTGGGTGGCGCATTTACGTTATAGATGTCTATGGCCTCCAGTGACCACTTAACACCATTTAGGCTGTGAGCTCGTCCACCGATCTAAGCAAGAAATAAAAAAAATATTTAATATCCATGTATTCCGGTACTCATACCAGAACAGCCGTGAGCTAATCCACCCGTCCAAACAATAAAACAAATCTATTTACACGTACTTGTTTATATCGGTTGCGTCAGGAACGTTGCCGCTGATGAGACTCTTCCAAAACTCGTGAACCTGTTAAACGATTTCAAATCTATATATATATAAAAATGAATTGCTGTTCGTTAGTTTCGCTAAAACTCGAGAACGGCTGGACCGATTTGGCTAATTTTGGTCTTGAATTATTTGTGGAAGTCCAGAGAAGGTTTAAAACGTAGATAAATATGAAAATGCTCGGAATTAAATAAAAATAATAATTTTGTTTTTCCTTTGATGTGTCCCCCGTCGGACAGATTCCGTTTTGTTTGTTTTAAGTTTATTTTATACAAACGTTTAGGTCTTTTATTGATTGAGGCACTACGAAGTCTGCCCGGTCAGCTAGTTAGATATGAAAACGTATCGAAACATTTCATGACAGCGGACGATCGCATTATTCATTCGATACACTTTCAATTTCGCCACAAACTTCACATGCAAAAGAGATTTTTAATCGCGTTTCTCTTTGATATTAAACTCATTAATATTATCTGAACACGAGCATGTACGCGGTCGTATTCCATCAACGATGGTTAAAATCGATATTGTTAATTAATAAAAGTTAATATTTTTTTCGTGTTGTATTAAGAATTTTATAGATCCTCAATATCTAATGGTGACCGGTCGTATTGCCGAGTTCATTAACCTAGCGAGGCTCGACATTTAGAGGCTTAATATGGCACCACCCTCTTTCCGTTGCTATAGTAAATGAAGATTTTTTTACTGGTGGTAGGACCTCTTGTGAGTCCGCAAGGGTAGGTACTATCAGCCCGTCTATTCCTGCCGTGAAGCAGCAATGCATTTCGGTTTAAAGGGTGGGTCAGCCGTTGTAACTATACTTTTTTTTTTTATTGCTTAGATGGGTGGACGAGCTCACAGCCCACCTGGTGTTAAGTGGTTACTGGAGCCCATAGACATCCACAACGTAAATGCGCCACCCACCTTGAGATATAAGTTCTAAGGTCTCAAGTATAGTTGAAACTCTCAGTTGAGAGTCTCAAGTATAGTTGATAGTATATACTGAGTAACCACTTAACACCAGGTGGGCTGTGAACTCGTCCACACATCTAAGCAATAAAAAAAAATACCAGCTTGATGCGATCGATAACCAGTTTTTACTGGTGATTGGCCGTATGGATAACCCACCCAGGTTGAGACCACCATTCTGCCTATTAGTCGAAGTGGTTTCAAGGATGCGACAGCAGTTACACTATTGAGTCTTTAACGTCATGTCGGTCAACATAATGATGTTTTCGACTCTGGCGATTTATAAGCCTTAATCATTTTCTCCCATCTGCGTAAGCTTACGAATATAACACAATAGGCTATAACTGATTTCGATACATACCGAAACATTGCCACATTAAGTTTGAGGAGAACGTAAAACTACTCTTTGATTTAGGACATTCAAACCGGTTCGCAATCAAATTAACAAGGTCAAAATGTATCAAATGCGGTAGTGATTGGCACAAGATCCCTGTCGCTAGTATTGTTGTTACCAAACAAATATATCCATGCAATTTAAGTACTAGGAACGATAAGCTATTAAGATTTTAACAGATTTCTGCTAAATTCTAAATAAGGCCAAACGATTCTCGAGTTTTATTTAAGTTATTGCGATTACGTTTCGGTGTTGCAGTAGCTGGCAGCTATGACTGTTGGGAAGAGGGTAGTGGGTGATGTTCCCACATTGAGCAAAAATTTGTGTGACAACAGGTTTGTTTGCTCTTTGTCTGGGCGTTTAATACCTATGTAACCTCTACATAATTTACAATATAAATATTAAAGAGAGTATAATAAGTTATAAATGTGACAGACACATAAATGGTACTTTGAATATTGAAACATAAGAACTTGTGAAGCAATAGCTTTAAATGTTGTTTCTCTTTACACAGCAACTCAGTTTGTGCTATAGTTTTACTGGGCTAAACTTTCTTTTATGGTCCATAGAATAATACATTATATCTTTATATATTTAAAATATGTACATATTTAAACGTATAGAAGTATGTATAGAATATAAATATAATTATATTTATAGAAGTCTTTGATACCCATGATACAACGAATCCTAGTCCTAGTTATAAAATAAGTATACCAAATTTCAAGTTAATTTGACGTTTTGAAAGGGGTTAAAATCATGTTATAAGATTCCGTTACAAACATACATACGTCTGAAGCTAATAAAAGCGTATTAAAAAAGGTTTCACTACTACGAGAGCTTTGTTATTGTTTGTCAAAATTTTCAGCCAGCAATGTGTGTAATTAAACGTGTGACATTTGAAACGTACCTCGTCAACGACTTTGTAAGCGAACTCTGCGTTCTTAGCTTCGCCATCAAACGCGAACTTGTTCACCGGCTTGCCGTCCGGAACTTTGTAGAGCCTGAACCACTCGACGGTGGCGCGGAGGAGGCCAGGGAACAACGCCTCCACGTCTTGTACATCGTTCAACTTCTCCGCGTTCGGGTCCCGGGAATCGATCGCTATCAGCTTCCAATCGGTCTCGCCTTCGTCGATGAGAGCTAGCGTACCGAGGATCTTTACGGGGTAAACGTCGCCGCGACTCGCGACGCGCTCACCGATTTCGATGACGTCAACCGGGTCGTTGTCGCCCCTCGCGCCCGTGTCAGGGTCGACGTGATTAGGATTCTCCCAGGTCTGCGGCAGGGCACCGTAATTCCAGATGTAGCCGCGATGAGGGAAGACGTTGTTCACGAACCGAAGGTTGCCTTTCTTTACGTCCTGCTTGATAGGATTGAGGGCCTCCCCGAGGCTGATCTCCATTTTCGCATTGGTCCATCTAGGTACTTCTACTACCATGTTGACGAGGCGTTGAGCTTTGTCGGCCCATAGTGGAATGTCGTGCATGGGCGATATAGGACCGCCTTCATCCTCTGTGAACAAAATCATTATATGTAAGTAGTGACTGTAATTTAGATTATGAATGAAACCTTTTCAGGCGGTAGGCAGCGGCTTGGCTCTGCCCCTGGCATTGCTGAAGTCCATGGGCGACGGTAACCACTCACCATCAGGTGGGCCGTATACTCGTCTGCCTACAAGGGCAATAAAAATAAATAAATAAAAAGTTAAAAATTTTATTAATATAATGGGTGGAGGTCATCACTTCAAATGTAACAATCAAATATACATTTATATACAATATTAACAAATACGTTATTACCATTAAAGTATTGATTTTACACAAGTTCATTTTGGTTTGTATTATCCGAGGACTCGGTTGTTGTTTTTCATTTATTTATTGCTTAGGTGAGTGGACTAGCTCACGGCCCACCTGATGTTAAGTAGTTATCTGAGCCCATAGACATCTACAACGTAAATGCAGCCACCCACCTTGAGACATGAGTTGTAAGGGTCTCACTTTTAACAGTACGACGGCTGCCCCGCCCTTCAAACTAAAACGAGTTGTGGTACCTACCTACCGGTGCGGACTCACAAGACGCTCTGCCACCAGTTGGTTAATAATACATTGATCACAGCAAAAAGACTGTATTCTGTGGTCTCCGTTTAAAATTAAGAACATCATTGATGATGAAACAAAAAATGGAATCTAATAATAATAACTGGGAACAAATCACGCACGATCATCCGGCCCAAATTTAGCATTTCCTGTGTTATGGATACCAAAGACTGATGAACATACTTATACATATTTAATACATAATATATAGATAATTTTTAGAGAGAGAGAGAGAGAGAGAATACACTTTATTGCACACCAAAACACAATTTACATTCAAAAAAACAATAAAAAAACAGATACATTTGTACAATAGGCGGTCTTATCGCTAAAAGCGATCTCTTCCAGACAACCGTTTAATTTATAGAAATTCTGGAAAATATAAAAAAATATAGCAGGTATGTTGCGGTGTACTATAGATAATACATTATAGAAAATATATACATACAATAAACAAAATATATACCGTTTACATATAATATGAAATATATACTATACCTATANACAGATACATTTGTACAATAGGCGGTCTTATCGCTAAAAGCGATCTCTTCCAGACAACCGTTTAATTTATAGAAATTCTGGAAAATATAAAAAAATATAGCAGGTATGTTGCGGTGTACTATAGATAATACATTATAGAAAATATATACATACAATAAACAAAATATATACCGTTTACATATAATATGAAATATATACTATACCTATATTTATATACCAATTATATACCAATATACATACTTACATACATTTAAATATTTAAATTTTTTTAAATTTAAATTTAAATCCGGCAGAGCATTCCACAATCGAACCGCCTGGACGGTGAATGAATGATCAAAGAATGATGATGAATGCGCCGGCATTTTCAGTCTCAGGCTATCCGATGATCTCAGGGAAAAATTATGCGTATCACGTAGGAACTCGAAAAGTTCTTTGAGATATATGGGGGCATGGGGGTTAAAGAGAGTACAGTAAGTTTTTAGCTATGCTAATAGCCTTGAGAGACTATTTCAGCTTCTCCCTGACGTGTAGATGAGTCCCGCTCAAACTGGAGTGTTGTCAACACTGGCCCTAGCGAGAGCAGTGCTTCGCAGAATCTACCACCGGATCGGAAACGCGACCCACTGAGAAGATTCGGCGAGAAACTCGGTGGGCTGTGTCTATGGATTAATTTATTCGTCGAGCCCTTCGTCGCAAGCGACGGGTTCGGCGAGGACGGTGACCGGTGCTTAAGGTAACTAAAAGCACCGTTAATGGATATAGATAATAAACACCCAGACAAAGAGCAAACAAATCCGTTCATCACATAATATTTGCCCGATATGGGAATCGAACCTACGACCCTGAGCGCAACAATCAGGGCCGCAGACTAAAACACCACCGAGTCAGCCTATTGTCAGTCAGACAATAGTACTAACACAAGAACGAAAAAAACTTAATTTTTTTTTTTTTATTTCCTAATACCGGTTCTCGTTATAAGAATAAATAAATAAACAATATTAAAAACAGTGAAAAGTCAAGGTTTTCATAATACTTAATGCTATACAAACAAAATTCACTTTTACTATCCACGTAACAAGGTTAACATTGTTAATGCCAAGGAAAAACATTATCTGTAACCTATAACATCAATAGTTACTGATATTACGATTATGAAGAAAATTATCAAGTCCTTGAGTTGTTTGCTATCTTTTTCGATTCGTAGATTAATTATATAACTTCGATTACTATTTTTAATGCATTTTAATTTGAATAAAGGGTTTTTTTTCCGGCCGGGCCTAACCTCATACTAAGTTTCCTCACTTAAGGGGCAGGCGGGATATGTGGATCTTGATAGTCTGCAGATGTTGGGAGCATACCGTGGGCCCAATGTTTTTAGAGCCCTACCCAGCAAACGACTCCCCTTGCACCCCCTGACCAGACGTCCAATCACCGTCGGGGGGAAAAAACCCACCCAGGTAGGTCATCACTACAACCAGACCCCTGATGACGTTCAAAGTAGCACCAACCAACGGGTCGTCGCGACGACAACCAACGACACCGGTCTTCTCGGTACGGACTTATGGGTGTATTTGAATATCATTTACTTATTCATTTATTTATGTAACAATAGCTAGACATTATTATGTTAAAGATCATTAAACCAGACAGAAGTTTTCGAATACTTGCAGTAATTTATTTAAATGCTTAGATTAGAATTAGCTAGATAAAGATATAGGCTTGCACGCAACTACCACCCTGTCTATTGCCACATGGCAATCTAATGTTCTTGTTCGAAAGGCACTACAGTTATACCAATTGCGATATCAAACTTATACATCAAAGTACAAGGCAGCAATTACTTTGGTGTGAATATATTATCTTTGTCAACATATTGAGTATGTAAAGTTAAGTTTGTATCTGATATCTATCTGACATAGATATTGCCATGCAACCAGGATCTCGTCTTTCCCTGTACATGTCCATAGTCAGACCAATAGTGACCTACAGATATGTGGCAATTTACGAAAAATCCTGCAAATCACAACAAATCTTGAAACTTGAAAGAATAAATAAATAATAAAAATAACAAGAACTTTTCTCACTACACTTCATCCTGCCATAGAAGACCTCTTTAAGCACCTTAGTGGTGAAACTTTTGACCATAACTGAGGCTCTACTCTCTCACAGGTATTGTGAAAATCTTACAGATAAATAAAAATCCAGTGGTGGACATGACTTCAGACTAGTTCAGACTTCCGAATGAACACTGAATATAACTTCATGAAGTAGAATTTAGGGAATGAGCCAAACAGGACCATGAAAGATAACAAATATACTCAGGAAGGCATAATAAATGAATCAGTATTAATATAATATGAATATATTTATAATTTTTAAACACCTGTGAAGGCCTATTTAAGTAAAAAAAATATTTTCAATTTTAATTCAATTTTATGCTTACCACTTATCAGCAAGATCTTTTGTGGTTAATTTTTTATGTAAATAACCACTTCATAATTTACATATTCATACAGTATGATAACATCAGCTAATTATCAATAATAACCGTTACTTTGGACTTTGTTTTGGAATAAACAAGTTATGAATCCAATTTCTTTGTGGTAGGCATTTACTTGTATTAGTAGTAATATCCTATAGTAGCCTATCCTTTTTCTGCAATAGTTTTGAAGAGCAAGAAAGAGATTATTTTAATATAATTCAACATCAGGAATAAAGTAGCAGCTTTCACATTGTGTTTATTTTGAGGTGAAAGCTACCACCTGAGGTTTATCAACTACACTATCAATTTTATTATTAAAACAAATTTTACTATTGTTTTAAATTTCTATCCTGTGCTTTGGTAAAAAATATGGAAAATATTCTACACATGAAATACAAAAAAATATATATTTAATATATAAAATTGTTGTCGTAATAAAAGTAATTTGTTTTTTGTGGAATTTCATACTAGCAGTTATGAAATGAGATTAATATGCTAAGTCAGTTCAGCTGGTTAAGTTGACTTTTGTTTCAATGAATGAATTGAATTGAATTCAGTTTGCTTATAAAACATTTTTTAAACTACAGTAGAATCCGGATATAACGACTTTCAAGGGACCGGCAAAACTATGTCGTACTAACCGGATGACTTACAAAACGGCAGAATTATTTCTTAAGTAAATATGTTATGTACATATATTTATCCAACTCATGGAGCATGTAAAATTTTGCATGTCTAACTGTATAGCGAAAAATTGCTTTCTTGTAGCAGAGGTACATTCACGGGTATTCCCCAGTCGCGCTGAAGCTTGAACCACTGTAACAATGCCTTATCCACCGACTCATGAGTAGAAGTCCTTACACGTTTGTATTTTAAAACATTGGCATTAAACAGCGGCTCGATCTTATCTTTATTCTTCTTTATTGTTGATACTGTAGAATGAGATACGCCAAATCGCTTCTAATCGGTGTAATATTGCACTTTATTCTTCAATTGTAAAACACTTTCGCTTCATAGAACTCATTTTGTCGAGCTTTAAGAACTTGTCATAACAAGTGACAAGCACTAACTGATTCACGCGCCAATAAAGGGGGCGGGGTGAAGTTGGGGCGCCGAGGTATTGGTAGGTTATGTAAATAAAACATTGTGTGTCGTTTTAACCGGACGTATCATCATAATATTCATAATTAAGGGTCGCTATAAGCAGTTGGTCGCTTAAAACGGAGTCGCACTAAACGGTTATATTTTTTCCGTACCTAACTATGAAACCTAACTTGAGTAATCATTATCGTCGTTAAAAGCGGTTAGTCGTTATAAGCGAAGTCGTTGTATATGAATTCTACTGTATATTAATCTTAATTTTTTTATTAAATTATTAATAATAAACAAAATTTATTATTACGGTACAGTGAAAATATAAGTTTTAGTAGTTTCTGACGGTTCTTCTTTTTGACCTTACTTTTGTGCAAATTATTGTTTAGGTTTAGAAAAATATATCAATATTATATACAAACTATAAATAAATGAAAAGTCTAAAATCAAAAACCCGAACCTCATGTAGCATCTATCATGTTAACTATCTAAAATGTTTATTACTTTTACAGTTTAGTTTTATTATGGTGACTTGTGTAACAACAAATATTGCTTGAGAGTTTTCTCAAGTCTATAAGTCTATTGTAATAATTAGTGTAAAAATTTAAAACATCGAAATAAATATCAAATCTCCTATTAAACATTGTGTGAATTCTAAACGGAGATCATTTCTAAGAGCGAATTTCAACAAAATCTGGTTGAACTTGATTTAAAAACAATTACCTCGAACTTCAAAGTTCAAACACTTAAAACTATAATATGACTATGATTAAGAGAGTTTATGTTCAGACACGCGACACACTCGACTCGAGTACTATTTTATCTTTATCTATTATTCTCACTATCAGACTTACTGAAGAATACACGATAGTCAGGAGTGTAAGGTGATCCTCTTTCTTCTACGATGTACATCCTTACTTGAGTTTTTAGTGTGGCAGTCGAATTAATTGAACAAGTTACACGTGTCGGTTCTTTAACAGCGCACAATCGTCTTGCTATCGACCGGCAAACCGGAACAGCTGCGGCACAAACGCAACGTGAAAGTGACATTTTAGTCCACTACGGGTTACCAAGGTAAGCTGTAAAAAGAATACGAAATTTGTTACGTAATTTTCGGCAGTGTTAAATTCATTTTAGTAGTTTACAGGACTGTCAAAGTTGTTAAAAGTATCTTTGTGTGGACACACGTATGATTCAGATAAACGTAATCTTAAAAAAACTATAAGCTAGATGTGAAATTTAATATTTTAAAACTAATGAAATTGAAGACGAGAGAAGTTTCAACCAAATATCCTAATGTTAAATTTAGTTTTTACTTAAACTTTTTGAAGTTCATTATTTTTATTCAAAACACCAAACTTGTGCTTTATATGTTCGTGGCAGATTTTTGTCACAAATACTAGGATCAGACATTTATAGAAACAAAACTTATAGAACAAGCAACAAATATAAGCCCTTAACTATTCGACAATTTTCTGGACTGTGGATCCTTGAATAACGGTCCCTCCCTCCCTTTAAATGCAATGGACCGTGTCCTTATAGGCATTCTTAAATAATCCATAGAAATATAGGATAAAAATTACTAGCTAACGCCATAAACGAATGATATGATAGTGAATGTTTTTAACATTTCTTTAGTTTATTTTTTTATAGCTTAGATGAGTGGATCAACTCATAGCCCACCTGGTGTTAAGTGGTTACTGAAGCCCATAGATATCTACAACATAAATACGCCACCCACTTTGAGATATAAGTTCTAAGGTCTCACTACAGTTACAACGGCTACCTCGCCCTTCAAACCGAAAAGCATTACTGCTTCAATTATAGACGTTTCTTACTTTCCACACAATTTCTGTTATAAACAAACTTTAAGCAAACACGGTGACATGTGTAAAGCATAGGATCGTAATTAAAAGAAATTTGAATAATATTTTTTTCATAGCAACACATGTTAAAACGTCAATCCAAAGAAAAATGTCAACGATTCCAAAACGAGAAAGGCGAAGGTATTACAGTATACTGCCCAATTTTTATAAATGTGCCCAATGTTTTTAATAGTCAAAGTCATGTCTAATAATGAGAAATGTAACAAACTTGAATTAAATGATTGTTAATTATTAATTAATCTAAAATTGATAATGGAATGAAATTAAATATTGTTTCAATAATATGGTGGGAATTTAAGTTAATATTCTGTAAATTCTATCAAATACTTTTTGTAGGAAAACGAAAAGCGGTGTCCAAAGTTTTTCTTTGTTTTCCTGCCTCTACATTTTCACAGATGTTAAAGCGGTTATGAAGACATCATTATAACAAATTTAAATCAGAAGAAATACTAAGCTAACGAAACGAAACAAAACTAAATATGTACTAATTAACGAACTTTCACAAAAACATAACCTCTCGCGTTTTTGCCTAGTCTTCAAACGTGTTTCACTTTCATATACAATATTTAGTAGATACTAAACATAGTTTACTAAATCCAGAGAAAATTACCACTGGTTTCATTTTCACAGCTGTAGCAAAAGAATAGGGAATATCAAATTTTCATGGTTGCTCAAGTATGAGTTACCTAACTTAGGTTAGCGCCATCTATATAAATTATACAGAACTCAGTTCATTTTTACAATAAACTACAGGACCTGCTCAACTAAATAAAGATAAGTATTAAAGCATAATTCTTGGTGCCCACGCATCATAATAATATTATTATGTACCATGAAACGTAAGGTCGTAGTTTGAATTTTTATCGAAATTCAATTGCGATAAAGTAAATAAATTTGTTAAAAAATGATAGCTGGCTCCAATTACCTATTATAGACTGTTCTTTATAATAATTTGTCTTGGTGGTAATAAAATGTGTCTTGGTGTTCGTTTTAAATGCAACGTTATGAACTCGACCCCAACACTTGATCTTAATTTAATATTGAAACACTAGATGGCGCTATTTTAAAATAAAACTACTTTTGTCTTCAAATCTCGTTTTTACATAGTATTTTCATTTTATTTGTTTCGTCGGTTCGAATACCTACTTTACTGTTTTCGTAGTCACGGACGACACGATGATATTCGTTACGATTAATGTGTTACGGTCTATATTTCTTAACAAATATTTCTTAACTTCTACGTTTCACACAGAAATAACTAATAGTATCTTGAGTTTTATAATATTGCCCTTCTAGGCAGACGAGTATATGTCTCAACTGAGGATAATTGGTTATCGTCACTCGTCAACTTCAACAATGCCAGCGGCAAAGACAAGCTGCTGCTTTTTTTTCCCTACCTATGCTGATAGCCTTGAGAGGCTATTTCAGCTTCACCCTAACGTTTGTAGGTGAGCTCACGGGGCTCAATCCGGAGAGTTGCTAACACTGACCCTAGCAAGAGTAGTGCTTCGTAGAATCTACCACCGGATCGGAAACGCGAAAGATCCGGCGAGAAACTCAGTAGGGCTGTGTCTATGGGTTAATTCGCTCGTCGAGCCCGTCGCTTGCGACGAAGGGCGGAAGGACGGTGACCGGTGCTTGTGTGCCTAAAAGCACCGTTAATGTATCAAGAGGATCCGTAATGACGTGCTTTGGGCGACGTCGACGGTTTACCATTCGGTCTACTGGGTCGGGTATGTAATTTCCAGCGGCCACGATCAGAGGGTTCTCATGTCGTGCCGCCTTCTCAAAATGGCGCAGCAATGCCGACTGTAGATACTTACTAACTGAATCGAGCTCCAAGTCATCGTGGAGATCCACGTTCCTCAGGAACCATGGTGCTCCGACGGCTATCCTGCAGAATTGGGATTGAATAACCTGAAGGGATTTCAAGTGGGTGTGGGCTACGTGAGCGAACACTACGCTTGCATACGTCATGACGGGGCGTGTGCAAGTTTTGTAGAGAGTTACCTTATTACGGAGGGACAGTTTGCTTCGACTACAAAGCATTGGGTAGAGTCGTCCTAGTATAAACGCGGCGCGGTCGCGTACCGCTTTAATGTGGGGACGGAATGTCATCCCTCTGTCGAGGATGACGCCTAGGTATTTGACCTTCGAGGCCCACGGTATGGGCTGGCTAAAGAGAGTGATGGGGCTAACGGCGGAGGTGTTTGCGCGCCTATTAAGGAGTGGGATGCTCGAAGTGGTATTCGGAGGGCGACCCCTTTTGAAGAGCACCGCTGTGCTTTTCGTGGGGTTGATGTCGATTCGCCACTTCCGGAACCACTGTCCCATGGTGGCTACTGCGATCTGGAGTCGCCGATGAAGCAACGACATCTTCCTACACGAGTAGTAGATAGCCGTGTCATCGGCGAAGATGCTGCTGCGCCAACTCATACAACGAATACATGAATTTCAAAAGCCGTACGTACGCTTTTGAAATTCATGTATTCAAACATTTCAGATTCATAACTAAATAACGAAACAGAATATTTACTCAATTAATTTTATTCAATGTAATATAAAGTCCGATTATAGTAATCTATTCGTTGTGTAAATAAAATATTAACCCAGTACTTTTCGAGCATTATCAAGCCAATGGGGCCAACTTTCGATTTCTGATTGCAGTACAGCTCCAGGACTTAGCGTGTTTATCAACTGCTGGTGACCAACGACGTGGTAGTCTTCAGTCAATAAGTTATTTTCAACCCCACAGGCTAAAAAGTCTTGGACCGCCTGCAGTGCCTGCTGGGTCGGCAGCTTCTCTGAAACGAGAAAAAAATTACTTTAATTAATGATCATGGTTAACGTTTAATTGGTGGTCAGTTACTTGATTCTAATGTCACTATTACCAGTCAGGGTTAATCTTGACCAGATTTAAGCAGTGATCGTCCGATAAAATCTAAGAAAGATATAATACAAAAAAAAACTAATATTTAAAAAAAAAAGACATGCCCGCTGAGTTTCTTGCCAGTTCTTCTCAGGACGGAGGCTAGTTTTTGTGAATTGGCGGTAGTTCTTTTTGACGCTCAACAAGTATGTACTATCATTTATGTTGAATAAAAATTTTTGATTGATTGATTGATTGATAGAGAACCAATCATAGCAGTATGGAGCGCAGGATTAGTGCGCTGAAATGGCAGTGGGATGATAATGTATGCCGGAGAATTGACAAGCGTTGGAGCAAATGTATTCTTGTGTGGAGACTACGGATCGGCTCCTTATCCTGAAAGGCTGTCGGTAAGTACTAAATGAGAGGAGCCGACAAGCGACTAGAAGACTACGGATTAGAAGACACCTATGCCAAGCAGTGGATGTGGCTGTTTACGAAGACGATTACCAGGTATTTGGTTTTTCTAAAATACTCACCCCTAAAGTCGCCAATGAAACCGATCCCTATGGATATATTATTGTAGTGCAATGTGTGAGCACCGATATGGTTCCAACCCGCTCCTTCATAAATTTTTCCGTTGCCTCCAGCCACGAATCTAAAGCATAAAAATAGTTTTTATTATTATTAAAAAGCGGTGGACGCGCACCGCCGCCGCCTAGCTTGAAATGGAAATATCAACATTAAGTGTATTATCTACACTGAAGTCTAGTATATATTTACTGGTGGTAGGACCTGTTGTGAGTCCGCGCGGGTAGGTACCACCGCCCTGCCTATTTTCTGCCGTGAAGCAGTAATGCGTTTCGGTTTGAAGGGTGGGGCAGCCGTTGTAACTATACTGAGACCTTACAACTTATGTCTCAGGGTGGGTGGCGCATTTACGTTGTGGATGTCTATGGGCTCCAGTAACCACTTAACACCGGGTGGGCTGTGAGCTCGTCCACTCCTATAAGCAATAAAAAAAAAAAAAAAAAAAAAAAGGTCTGATTATCTATGAATATCAAGTTAAAATTGTAGGTATGTCAACTGTCAAATTCTTGAAATTGCAAGATGGCGGTACCTATCCTTACATTTTCACAATACGATCCACCAACACGCAATTTTTTTTCGGTTCCATATTCATTCCAAAAAGTTATTCTTTAATTTTGCAAATTATTCGAGGCCACGTGTTAGTTATTTACATAAAAAAACATATTGTACGTACCGGCCAGAAATTTCCAAACCGGGCATAATCGTATTGCTTGGTACTAATAATCCGGGTAGCCGATTCTGGAGTCTTACCCGTTAGGTTTGAATTAGGAAATACATGGTTTAGTAGAATTAAAAAATATATACAGTCATAAAATAAACTCACGAATAGCCCAAGTCCTTGAATCCAGCCAGAAGCATATGATGTTGTCGTAGAGAATTTACGCTTAGCAAACACTCTTCATCTGTAAAGCAATCGTTGGATACCGTGTGTTGTATCACCACCAAGTCAATAGGACTCTTCAGGGGTTGTTTACGACGTGACTCCGTGCCACTCCATTCGGTGATGGGAATTTCGCCGCATTCGGACGCTGGAAAGAAAACACAGCTTACGTAGGTTCATTTTAATTATGTGTAAATTAAAAAAAAAGATATAAGAAAAAAAAAAATTGTTCTGAAGGAAACTTGGCGATTTCAAGAATTGTTGGTGTTGACTGGTGATAGGGTGAATGACCGTACGTACCTACGCGTTTGAAATCCTCTTGTACACGACTAGAGCCGTTTGAAATTTAAAAAGAAATTTGACTTTAATGATTCGGTGGGGTCGCGTGTAAAGGCTTCAATACATAATGAAATGCCCACTGAGTTTCTTCGCCAGATCTTCTCAGTGGGTCGCGTTTCCGATCCGGTGGTAGATTCTGCGAAGCACGGCTCTTGCTAGAGCTAGTGTTAGCATCACTCCGGTTTGAGCCCCGTGAGCTCACCTACTATTTAAGGTTACGCCGGAATAGCCTCTCAAGGCTATCAGCTTAGGTAGAAAAAAATAATTAAACCTTACTTAATTTTTTTTTGTCCAAAGAAATGACGGATTTGTTATATGAATGAAACCGTCTTTGAGTAATGTGGGATCAAATAGACGCAAAGGATTTTACGTACACAAAAGCAAAACTATATGGATGATAAGGTTAATCATAATACTCGTAAATATAAATCCTTGACAAGAAGTGAATATGTCTACGAATTATCCTAACGGAATTTTTTCTTATTGATTTATTTGGATTTAATAGTTTTCTTGTGTTTACCAAGTATAATTTGCAAGTACGTATTGTCAATAAGTAAGTACTTACTTATCTTATAGCATTACGATGTCACAGCAAATAATTCAGGACGTTAGCATAATCAATGCCATAAATAAGAATTAGGTATGTTTATATTTTAATTTTTTAGGTCCTTTAAATTGTTTACTTTTAGTTTCGAAGATTTTTATTTATTACAAGATAGCCCTTCGCTAATGAGACGATATTACGGTCCATGCGGGCAGGTAACACGTGGCTATTTTTGCCGCGAACTATTAGCGTAGTACAAGCATTCCAGTTTAAATTTTAAGACAACGGTTAAACAGTAAAGTTGAGATTTTAACCTCGTACTTCAAATTGGCGGACTACTTTTCGTCATGATTTCAATAGGCTCCAGCAATAAGCTATTAAGTAATTGCGAGGTGAATTCTAAGTTTCATTCGAGATAACACACTTAATAATTACGGTACCGAGTAACTACATACCGAAAGTCGACAATCCAGCACATGTCGCAATAATAATTAAGAATAGAATACTATTCATTGTAAATAAACGAAGTGCGTTCTTCACAAAACACGAATTCTATGTATGAAAAAAATTGTACGGCAATTATATTATTATAGAGCTGATATGATAAGGGAAGCCGCCATTGGTTGTTAAGCTTTGATAAATGTATCGGCAAATTGTTCCGATAATGCAAATACCAAATCGACCAGTTACGATGTAGGTTGCTGTTTCTGGGTTAAAAAACTACTGCACCACCGAGACAGTGTTATCTCGTGTATGTTTTAAATAATTTTATCTTAATTTTTTTAATTATCCATACATAAACGAAAAAAATGCTATCAACTGACCTGCATTCAGGGTTCCGAAACTCACCAAGAACACCAACAATAATAGAGACGGTGCAACCAACATCTTTGCAACCTGTTTTAGATTTGTCGAATGCAATGAAACGTTAATCAATGAATTACGTATTTATATGTTCCAAGTACGGTCTTATCAAGCGAATGGTAACTCCCCGGAGATGGTCTGGGAAATACAAATTTTCCTTGTTTTTAAAACACTCACTCTACTCTAAAAAGACCGTTTTCCAGTTGAAACAAATCAAAATCTCAAGGTACTTTCCTGTTATCGGCCCTAGCGAGTATCAATTTTTGGATACTTCAATCTTTGCTGCACCATTTTTAATGGAACCTAGCACTATAACTTAGTCATAATATTCCACGATGTTTGTGACATCTCACACAGATAACTTCTTTGCAATAATGCGGAAGAGAAGTGCATCGTTATTGCGTTGAATGTGTGACAGTGGCAATAGTCTTCTGAAAATCATATCGAGCAAGATCGAGGGATTTCTAATTAATAGCTTTTGCAGCAGGCATTTGGAAGGAAAAAATTGTAATGATGTACAATGTATGTCTGATAGTTAGATTTTTTATTTTCCTAACATAGATTATAAGAAATTCTTACTAACAAGATGGTATGGTTTTTTTAATACTGAAATCATGTATAAATTAAATAAATAATCACACTAAATACCAAATTGATAATGGATCATAACTTGACGTTGACATTCTTGTGCAGTTTTCCTTGTATAAACAAAATTTATGCAAATTAATAGATCAATTAATTAAAACCGGTTTGAGGAGACGAAACGTGATGTATTAAAGTAAGAAAAAAAAATTGTTTTGTCCGTAATAAGTGGAGCGGTATGACAACAGGCCATAAATCATTCGGCTCTGACGTCAGACCGTTTGATGAACAACCGTGGTCGGACTAAGGCAGGATTGCAAGACCAAATGCTTATTAAATTTAGGGTCAAGGCAGAAACGTAACTGGATTTAAAATATACTAGATGATGACCGGTTTTTTTTAATAACGCCATCTTGTTGTGTCTCTAAAGCGGTTAGTTGCCCTCAATTAAGAAAAATAGTATTATTATTCGCCAATAGATGTCGGGAAGAGTCATAAAGTTGATTATCGATAAAGTTGATTATTGAAAACACGAATAAAACAACATTTTCTGAAAATAAATCGTAGCTAGATCGATTTATCGCCCTCGAAATCTCCTGTATACTAAATTTTATGAAAATCGTTGGAGCCGTTTCCGAGATTCAGATTATATATATATATATATATACATACAAGAATTGCTCATTTAAAGGTATAAGATAAGATATAAGATTAGTGTATTTAATTCTGGCATACTGCCAGCGATATTAATGTTATAAACACATTAGATTAATGGCAGGCCGTTTTCGCGAAAGCGGTCCCACACGATAACACTCTTATCGTGACTGCCCCACATTGTATAACCGACCCAGATGACCGGGAAACTCAAAGCCGCCTAAACCCGACATTTTGCTGGTGGTAGGACGTCTTGTGAGTCCGCACGGGTCCTGCCTATTTCTGTCGTGAAGCAGTAATGCGTTTCGGTTTGAAGGGTAGGGCAGCCGTTGTAACTATACTAGAACTCATATCACAAGGTGGGTGGCGGCATTTACGTTGTAGATATCTATGGGCTCCAGTAAGCACTTAACACCAGGTGGGCCGTGAGCACGGTCATCCATCTATGTTATAGAAAAAGAAAAAAAAATTGAATCCTCCTGTACAGAAAGCCATATCTTTCTTTAATTTGCTTGATTAAGCAGTGACTTGTGGTAGGGCACATTCTGAGCTCCTAGTAATTACAGCTATTGTGGCGCGAAATATTTACGCATTCCGAATCGAAGGGTAGGGCAGCTGCGATACAAGCAACTGAGACTTGGATCGCGTGTCATAAAGTGGCTAGCAACATTTAAATTGTGATACTTAAGAGATCAATTAACTATTTGACAACAGCTGGACTGTAAGCACGTTCTACCCATCAATATTAAAATTCGTCGAACAAGTACAATGAACTTACAAACTATTACATGAACCGATACGAAATATTTAAAAAAAATAAAAAAAAGATGTGTGGTGTCGTGGGAGCCCGGATAAGAACGAAGTTCCTTATTATAAAAACATTAATTTTAAGTTCTATTCGAGGTATAAAGAAAATAATTATTCGGGTATACATTTTTTATTATGATTTTTTTTAGATAAAAAGAAACTACTTTACAAAGTTATAATATTTTGTACTCAAGTTTAACAATATTTGGTATGTGTATGTGCATTACTATAATTCTCATGTTGTATTTGTTGTTTTAGTTATGTGTTATTTGTTCTACACACACTTATCACTTTTTATTATTATTCTCATTATCCTCTCGCAGGTCTGCTGGAAGAGATTTCTTAAAGAAATAAGCAGTGCCTTTGTACATAATTTTCCTATTACTCTGTACTATGTCTTTTTTTCTGTGTGTACATAAATAAATAAATAAACTTTATTTTATTCACAATGATTTATAAAAAATATATAATAATAATATACAAAGAAACAGCTATTTATATGAATAACAATAACCGTCATCACGTAGACTATGACATTAGACACTGTTATAGCCATCATACTAAGGCTAAATATTTTATTATTTATATAAATATTTTATTATCTTACGTTACGGACGTTTTTCCCGGTTAGGGTGCTCCTCCGCATCGTCCCATAAGGAACTTCGTTCCAAAAACGAAATTATTTACAAAAAGACTTTGACAGGTCGATGAAGGAAAAGAGTCGGATTTAAAATCGAGGCCTCATATTATTTATTTCCATAATCACTGCTGGGGTGAGGTACGGGGACGCAGAAACGGCTACACTTCTTACCCGACCCCAAAACAGATGAGACGCAATATTGGAACGAAGTTCCTTACGGCAGGCTTGGAGGGGATAGGGATTTTGCTGCGCGACCGAACTGAAAAAAATGTGATAGGAAAACCGTAAGAAAAAATCCGTGGAAAAAAGTGCGTGGAATAAATCCGTGGAAAAAAGTGCGTGGAATAAAACCATTAAATGAGACGTGCGCAGGCGCGACAGTCGCATACACAAGCGAGCAGTGTATAATACCTTTCTCTTTCTCCTTCTTTCTTTTCGTTCTCTAATCCCTTCTCTCTCTATTTAGTAATTATTTCTATTTCTATGTAATTTTATGTTGCCAACCAAAAATAAAGAGATATATTTTGTTATTTTAATTGATAATTTGAATTACAATTTTTTTTATTTTACGTAATTTATTATTTCCTAAAATACTGAATTTCCTAAATACTTTCCCGTACTTAAATAAAAACTAATCAGTAAAATTTAAGAGAAAAATCAAGAAAACCTACATAAAATTGAGCACCATTTCTTTTTTTGCAAATTGTGTCGATTCTACATTAGCCGAAGGAACTTCGTTCCTACCTGGTGTCCCACGACACCACATCTTTAATTTTTTCTATTTAGCGATTGCGTATAGTACGGCGGCATCCTCGAAATACTTCCACCTTCTCGATAACCATCTTGTAACTACCGGAAGTGGGTACCTTGAGACATTGGTTAGAAGTCTCAGTTCTATAGTAAAAATGCTGCCGCAACTTTCAGACCTGAAGGGATCACTTCTTTTGCGGCGGAAAAAGGGTAGTGATAATAGTATCACTGCCCTATTTCCGCCGCAAAAGAAAAAAAAGAAAGAAAAAAGAAGAATAAAGCGTCTTGTGAACCCATATCTGCATATGTAGCTACATTCAGTAATTACGCAAATATTTTTTTTTACGGGCTTGATTCTAGTCACACGATGTTATTCCTCCACTGGGGAAGTCGTGCCTTGTTGAATACGTATTTAGTTACAAAAATTGGTACCTGCTTGCGGGATTCCTATATGGGCATAGAGGCAAAACGTTAATCTATAGGTTCCGGTAATCATTTAAGATCAGTTGGGCCATGAACTCTCCGATCCAACTACGATAATAAAAATAAAACTCCAACGGATTAAGTTAAGTGGTCCGATACTAATCTTTAAGTTTATCCAATCCATATATTTTTTATGATTTTTAATTATTATCATTTGCGTATGACGTAGACATCAAAAACTTGTTTTATCATCGATCAATGTACTCTCAACAAACCAAGGAGTGTGATCCTCTAAGAAATAAATAATTTTGATAAGGTAGTGTGTGAGGTCGCAGGTAGATATCAACATTTTGCATATTTGAAGCAATCATACCTTCTGGTTGAATGAACTCTGCTCCAGTGGCGGGAGGTGTGATGGTAAAAATGAGATGAAGAGATCTTCTCAAACAATTCCTCAAAGCACTCTCCATGGAACATAGGAAGCATACAAAGCTAGTCAAAAGGCAAAACAAATCCATTTATTCGTAAAATCTTAAAGTCATAAAAACGACAATGCATTTTCGAAGCCCTAAGGCTAATAAAGCTCCAGGATGGACAGAGAAAATCCCGAAAAACTGGTGGTTACTGGCAAGCTTGAAGGAAAAAAATCGTGGGGGTAATAGTCCCATGTGTTGGTCTGATCAGCTCCGCCCCACCCTTGATTCCACTGCCTACAATGCTCCCCGAGTAGCCGAAGACAGGATGTGATGGCGCAACATCGTGGGAACGAAAGTCATGGGTAGAGGTAGTCACGACTCTAAGATATGAGGAGTAAAACTGGAAGAGAGAGGGAGGCTAACATTTAGATGTTAGATGTTGATTTTCCCTTTGGCATTTCGAAGACGTCAATACTTAGGACGTCATCAACAATCAATTCAATAGTCTACGGCTTAAGCTCAAGAATGTTCAAGAAAACAGAATAGACTTCTTTTTCCTCTTGCTCTTATCCTACATTATGTACGGTCGGCCCAGTATGTTTTCTTATCATGCTGTATATGGACTTGGCATGGGTTTCACGACTGGCCGCCTACTAGATGTGAACCCTCCTTAGCTAAGTTATATCTCCGTATATCCATTGCAACGAGCTATAGAGAGGGATTTATAATTTCTTCCGGTATTTCATTGAAAACAAAATGTATAAGGACTAACCCTAAAACGCTTGCGTCACAAGTAAGGTTAATTGGCAACAAAAACTGCGTAAGCATCACACGTCACCTTTTTTTCATCATTCAGGATCAATCAAAGAAAGGTTAACCGCATTCAATTCTAATTTATGAACGTTAATCATTTGAAATGTTGTT